TTAGTTCATCATTTAACTTTAAAAAGCACTCAAGTGATCCTTTAACTTTATTTTCTGTAACTCAAATGGTCCTTCCGTTGGCAGTCTGGCACGTTTAAGTGTCCAACAATTATTGCTTTTAATTTTTATAAGTTTACGTGGAAAAAACAACTCCACATGGCTCTATTTTCATTCCACCTCACATTTTAGCCTGTATGGGAATTCGGTCGAAGGAGATGAAGAAGCTGTTGAAAAGGAGGAAGTAGGCGAGGATGGCGACTACTACAGTGAATCCGAGCATGACGTGGGAGACGACGCCGGAGAGGAATGTGATGAAGGAGCTTTCGGCTCAGAAGGAGGCGAGGATGGTAAGGAAGAAGAAGAAGAGGAACCCACGGAAGCCACCGGTAAGTCCTACCGTCCAGAAAGTTATGGCGGTAATGGAGATGGAGAGGACGATTAAGGAAGGGATGGAAATTATGGAGTGTGCGAAGACGTAGGATGATTGGCGGTAGGCATTGTAAGCTGTTTCTCTCATGAAGATGTAGCGTTCTTGGAGGGAAACAAGGATCGCTTCGGCGCAGGTGTAGAAGGTGGTGGACATGGCGAAGGTGAAGAACCCAATTCGTTCTTGAACCCCCTTGGGGGAATTGTCCAGGTTCCAAAATATCATCGCCAGAATGAATAAGGTGACCACAACGGCGCCCAATCGGATTCCGAACAGTTCAGGCATTCTTATTGAGTTCATCATCAATCTTTTAGCAATGACAATCATTTCATTCCAGAACAGATTCACAAATGTGGGAACTGAAGAAGTCAAATTGGAATCAGTGGTGGCTCTGGAGACTAATTTCCCCCAGGAAACGCTTGCACTGATGGCCGCTTTGAGTGAAACAAATCAGAAGAAAATATGGTGATTACTTTGGTATTACTGTTGCTGGTTATCAGTTGTTCGATTTAATTCCTCTTACAAATTTTGCCTTCAGTTTCATTAGCATCTATCTATTTTGCTTTACCAAAAATTGAAAAGATCATTGTTTCTATAAGAATCATATCACCCCATAAATTAATGGGAATTCAATCGAGCTATTGAGATTACTGGTTTTCGTAATTTGCACCGCGGGAATGTCGTGCGTTTGCTCGGAGGACCGCCTCCTGGTTGGAATGACTCTGGTTCGAGATGTCGCCGCTCAAGAAGCCTATAAGCCTTTTAATTTTGTACTGAAAAAAATTGATGAACAATTCGTTTTGTTTTTTTTTTTTCTCGTGATTTATTTTTAATTTTCGGTTTTGAATATTCACAGTTTGTCGGCATAACATCTCCACAGAGGATTCGACGCCGGAGAAGACAACTGGCTTCTTCAATTCGAGGTAAGATTTCAGATTTTTTTTTTATAAAATTAAAAAGAAATTTATGTATTTTAATGCACACTACATATTGAAAGTGTAATTCTTATGCTAAAATTATTAAGTCCGTTTTTCGGCGAACTTGTTTCTTGGATTTATTCTGTTCTGCCATGACCTGTTGAATTCCACCAAGCTTTTCGTCCCGTGGGGAGTTTCTTCCAGTTCATGAATCAAATCTAGTGCGAACTCAGTCTAATTCTCATTCTCAGGATCGGATGACAAAAGTAGCCGAAGAAAAGAAGAGGTTATCGGAGAGCCGCTGTACACCGTCTATGAGGTGGAATGAAAATAGTAACATGTAATCAATTTGCTAAGTTGTTTTTTTCACATAACCTTATAAAAATTAAAAGTGGTAATTGTTGGACACTTAAACGTGCTAGGTATGCAGTCTGTTAACGGAGAGGTCATTTGGGTTACAAAAATATAAAGTTAAAGGACCGTTTGGGTGCTTTCTGAAGTTAAAGGACGAATTAAGTTTTATAATGAAAGTTTAAGGATTAAATTGGGTATTAAACCATAGAACTATTAACGGGCTTCTTCTTCTTCTTCTTCTTCTTTGTGGAACCCATTTATAGTCATACGACCGTGTTAGTAAATTGTAATTGTGGAAAAAAAACCCAACAAAACAGGAGTTGATTTGAAGTCAAGACAATTTAGTAACGACTAACGAGGTTACGAGGACCTGGAAAAAGCTCAAATGCGGCGCTTTCTTTTTTTGTCCACAATGCAGTAATGCACCATACCAGTGCCGCACTCCTTGCCGTATATACTCTTTTTTCTTCTGCATTCTCTTCATCTGTCATGTAATTTGGCGCAGGGATTCTAAAGCACTCGAATCGGAACGTAGAAGATGATGTCACGGCCATGGGTCTCCATCACCTAGGGCCGCTCCGGCCTGGTGCTTCCTTTTTCATTCTTCGCAGGTCTCGCTTGTCACATGGGTTCATGATTCTTAAATGCTCGTTGGGATTGATTTGTTTAATTCATTGAACACCTTTTTGTTTCTCGATAGGTTAAATAATGTATTCAGGTGGTGCAGATGGTGGGTGCTGTTGTTGGGGGTTCTGGTAGAGTAAGCAAAAGATCCTTGGATGAGAGATGGAGTACTGGTGTTTATGGCTTGATGTTGATGCTCAACAGGGAAAGGTGAGTTTTTTGTTTTTTTGTTTTTTTTTTCTTCATCTGGATTCCTGTAAATTTTCAAAGTGTTGTATGGTACATGCATTTCTCTACTTAAAATCATGGAATGGCTTTTGTTTAAGTAAGAAAATCCATCTGTTGATTGATATTAATTTGTGGTTTTCTATGTTTCCCTACATATGTTCTAGTTGCTTGATTTTTGTTAATTAGCTTTATGTAGTGAGTGTGAAGTGTGAATGTATGTATTCCAGGCAGCAAGGAGCTGGTGCCGAACGGGGTTTAGGTGTCAATAGACAGCAAAGCAAGAACTAGAAATTTTTAGATTTGTTGATTGCTATTTATCTGTTCCTATGCATTCAACTTTTAGTTGAATGCTTTTGGTCCCTTGGGGTGACTGCAGGTGGTGTTACAGAAAATGATCTTCGGTTGAAGCAGATGTGCAATAGAATTTCTCCTTTTGAGGCGAATTTCCACCCATGGAACTACTGGGGACTTGTTGAGGACATCGATCCCTTCTCACATGATGACTCGAACGAGAGGTAGACCTCCTGAAAGAAATTTGAGGAATTATTCATCACCCTCGCCCCCAAGAAGTTTAGATGAGATATGGCAAAAAGGACCCACTGGAAGGGATAACAATGCTCCTAGAATTTGATTTTTTACAAGGAGGCGTTCAGGCCTTGCTTCTGCTACAGTCCTTGAAATTGCAAGGCCAGTTGCACCTTCAAGTGGCATGATGCAAAGAGGTTCAAATGGGGTACATTCTTCTTGTTCTAATTTTAAATTAGCTTCTTTTGGTGTATATGTTATTTTTTTACTCTCCAATTTGTCCAAGTAAACAAACATCTTGCCTTCAACCTGTGCAAGCCCATTATTAAAAAAGAGGTGTGTCCTTCAGTAATTTTAATTGTATCACCAGAACCTGCTATTCATGCGTTGTCCTCTGAGATGATGAAGTGCCCCATGTTATAACTGATTTTACAAATACTACACTCTATTCTTTAATGCTTGATTTATCTGATTCACAGGTGGACATGACTGAACTGAGGCAGATGAGAGATAATTAAGAATCTTAAAGACATGGGTATACCACTGGTACTTTCATTAAACTCTTCTATATTTCCAATGTATATCTCCAAAATGTATGTCTTGATGTGTCGATTATCTGATAGTAGAGAAAATTCGATGATATATAGACAGAAAAAAATAAAGGGAATGAGAAAAAGGAGACGAGGATGTTGTGAGGAACATATGGAACAAATTTTGCTCTGATACAAAAGCCATGATGTGGAGTACTGGATTGGCATGAAAAGTCTTTGTTTTGTTCCTCAATCTTCTATTTTTCTCTCATAGAGGCTTCTTGATTTGCAGGGTCCAAGAAAGAAAATTCTACTAAATCTCATGTCAGAGCGAAAACAACAACAACCAAATCCCTTGAATATGGTTAGACATTTCTAGAATGGTGAAATTCTTATTTGAAGGGAAAATAGACTTTATTGATGAATTATACAGCATGTAATTTGAATCTCTTTGCCTTTTGGCATTCTGGCAATCTAAGAGACTTTGATGGATGGAGTACTTGGTGGAGATGTCGTCCTGCCACCATTCATTGCGCAATCTTTCCCGTTCCTGGAAGTCATAGCAGCCAGAAACCTCTCATTCCATCTCTCCTTTCTGGGCACAGTTTCGGCAGCAGGATTTGCAGCCTTATGGCAGTCATGATCAGCTGGAAACCGGTGCTTGAGACACACCTTCAATTGGCAGGTCTTGCAGGTGCTCGTGTTAGAAAACGTCAACGTCTCTCTGCACCGTCTCACCGGACATACCGGTTTCTTCTTCTTCTTATTCGGATCACAATCTCCGGACTTCTCATGTCTCTCGAATATCGTCTTCGCATCTTCCTCCTCCTTCCGTCCGGTAACCTCAATCGAAACCGAGCAGATTTCGCAAACGATTACTCTCCTGCTCTTGTGCTCCGATTTGGGGCACTCGTGAGATTTATACGATCTATGCTCCAAACAATATACCTACGCAAAGAAGTCGACTAAGAATTCAAGAATTGAAAATTTTGCGAGAAATCGAAACCAAATACCTTGTGACAGCCGTCGCATTTAAACGGGAGAAAATCGAGTTGATGGCAATCGGAATGCTGGCAGTGAGATCCGAGATCGGGAAAAGCTTCGGTTCCTCCTCCTCCTTCCATGATCGATTCTGGTTTCTTCGGAAGAATTTTGATTTTGATTTTGATTTTGGTATATATATGTATATATATATATACGTATGTTCGGAGATGGATTGGCGGCTAAGCCACCGGTCGAGTGGATTTCCGCGTGGGTTCGGTTTTGTGTGTTGGGCTCGGGTTATTGGATCTCTCTGGGCCCTACTGGATGTCGGTAAATGGAAATTTTCTAATTTTATATCCAAACAGATCATATGTTATGCTAATATATATATATATATATATATATATTAATATTCATAAAAAAAAATATATGTTTTTTTTATAAGAAAGAGAAAGGTAGCATATATCTGGTGAATTAAAAATAGATGCATATATTTAGATAATAGAATTTTTTGTTATTTTAATAACAATATATTTAAATTAAGAGAAATTAAGTGAAGGGGAAAGAAAGCCTCCTCTCATTTAAATAAATTAATTAATTAAAAAAAATAAAGCAAAAGACTTCTTTCTCCTCTTTTCTTCGATTAATTCTTTTGATAACTAATATCAAATAAAAAAATTTTTTCTCCTTCTCTTTCCTCTATTCTCCTCAATCTAAACATATTGTAAAAAATATAACCTTATCCCAATTAAAGTAAAATAAGGTTTTCATTTATCCCCAAAATCCTTTTTTTTTTATAAAGAAAATCAGATATTTTCTAAATCAGATCTGAACATCCCCTTTTAACTAGGAGTATATGAAGTAATGGCTTTTTATAAATGGAGTTAACTATAAAAAAAATAAAAAAAAATCCTAATGGAGTTAGTTTTTACCTTTGTTTTGGCCTCTTACTTTTTCAGTAAATCATGGCAAAACAAAAGAACCTCCACTCCATCACTACGTGTTTATTGGATTATTGTTGGGGAAAGCAATGGGTTTGACTAAAATAAAAAAGGAACATCAAGAGTTCACAAAGGCAACACGGTTTTTATTGTGGCATCAAGAGTCAAATCTACTTTATTTCTTCAGTTTCTCTTTTCC